GGTTGTGAGCGAAATGGAGGGCAGAGCGTCGCGTGCTAAGACAAGTTGCGGTCCCATTCTTCCAGTCGTGGCGCTCCACTTTCACATGGGACGCGGCTCAGGGTTCAGAGGTCAGGTCACAGGGTCCATGTAATTAGTCTGTCTGCTCTGGACCATTTTTGACCTCTCACCCCAAACATTTTCAGACTGCAGAGTCCCTTCCAAATTCAGTTCTGTGGTTAATTATCAGGGCTGAAGGTAGACAGTGTAATCACCCTTGTAGCTCACTGTGGGGGAAAAAAAAATCAAGGCAACAAACTTCAATCCAATTTTGGGCAATTCATAAAAATATTTTCTGTTTTGCTGTTGTGAAAATTGGCTTTCCCACATTTCACAACAAAGAAATAAGTGTTTACTGAACTGTTACGCCTTGTGTTGGGCTCCCCAGGCCTTATTGAGAAGCCTCTGAGAATGCCACTGCTCATCTAGACTTTCACAATAAAAGCACGTGTCGGAGAGGCACGTATTCCCAAAGCCTTTTCCAGACTTACGTAACTCCCATTTCCACCTCCGTGTGAAAGCAGGTGATGAATATCGGGCCAGAGCATGACTTTTACCTCTTTCTCTCTAATATGCTGTAGGTCAGCTGGATGCTTCCTCAATTGCAAATAATGGAATACTGTACTCTTTCCTTACATTCCATTAAGCACTTTTAGACCTCCTTTCTCTTCGGCCTCCATTATTCATCATCTCTGCCTGAAAGACTATTTATAACAGCTTTTACCGTCTGTCAGTCAGGCTGCAAAGCCGCTTCTCAACGGTGCAAGGGGAGCGTCAATGCAGGAGACCGAGGTGCTGACATTGTGGGAGCACAAAGGAATACAAATGTAAGCCCCCGAGGGTGAAATTCAGAGGACTTTGACGATTGTCGATCTCTCAACGATTTATCGATTATAAGTACTGATTAATTCTCTTAAAATTAGAATGTTTTTGTCTCCCACTGTTACGATTTCATTCTCGGTACTTTAACGACTACCACCGACTATGACAAAAAAAATAAAAAGGAGAGGAAAACAATCACATACAATTATGCACATGTAAATCCAGAAGTGCGTCGACTATGCACGTGTGTGTGTGTGTGTGTGTGTGTGTGGTCACAGTAATAAGCAGCAGCAGATCCAATTCCAGCATCCAAAATATGCAATCATAAAATCATATTCATATTTCAGTAGCTCCGTGCTCTCATCTGACAGCTCTGCGAGAGTGAAATGTTCATGAAATGTTTTCATCTGTGCGCAACAACCAACAGCCATCAATATTTTACACTGAATAATTGTCATCAATATTTGAGCATGAGTGTGTGTGTGCTGCATTTGAACTCACTGATTCTCTCTTGCTTAGCAAACAGCTTCATGCATTTGGATGAGGGGGCGGGGGGGGCGTTCAGTTCTCCATGATGTAACGGTGAGGCATCGTTAGGATGCTGTGAAGGTCAACACCACCACCATCTAGTGGAAGACACAGTCTAATGCAATACGTTTCAGCTTTAAAAAGAAATAAGGAAAAAAAAAGCTCAGAAGCTAGCCGTCACAGTGAAATTTCGAAAGAGTACTGCAAGCAAGCAAAAACGAAAACAATGTGGAGGTTAAATTAAAATGAAAAGAGCACCCGTCTCCATAAAAACAGTCATGTCTATTCAAATCAAAGCTATATTGTAGAACCCAGCTTTTCAAGAGGGGTCAGGATCAACCGCGAATAGCGAGTTACGTTGAGCCTTACATGTCGGAATTTTACATTTTACAATTAAGTGGTTATTTCTTTCCATACCCTGTTGCGTCACGGCTAACTCTAGCATCGATGTTAGCCAAAAAAGGAACGAGTCCTTCGGTTTACAATTCCTCGAGTGCTTTTAGGTTAAAGTAAAACAAGTTGAAACGTTAAAATGGCTCATTTTAATTCTTCAATTAAT